GTAATGAAGAAAGACAAAAAGGGAAAAAGAGGGAAAAGAAAACAAAACAAATTAAAAAAAAAAGAACAAGAAAACCCCCCCAAAAAACAGAAAAAAAAAAAAAAAACCCTCACGAAAAAAAGAAATGCTCTCAAGGATCCCTCTGTGGTATGCGCAAGCTGAGGGGGTAGGTTCCAAGCCGCATGGCACAGTCCAGCCAGAAGGGGCTCCCAACTCAAGAAAAGGAAAAGAAAACCAACAAACAATCCAAAACAAACAAAAGCCCCGGGATCCCACCAGCGTGACAGCCCAGACCGGGAAGCAGTTCCACACTCGAACAGAGCTCCACAGCCCCTCAGGAAGAAGCAAAGTTGGTGCACAGAGCCAGGTATTTGAGCAAAAGGAGGGGGAGGTGGTGAGAGGTAGGGAAGAAATCAAAAGAAGCAGAAAAAAGCAACACCAGCAGCCAACAAATGGCACTCAGGGAGTTGGCCAGTGCGGGCAGGTGGAATCCAAGCAGCCAGTGCTTCCTGGCCAAGAGACTGTGGCCCCAGGAAGCAGAGGTGGCCTAGTTGGGGTGAAGAAGGGTGGGGGGTGGGAAAACGTATGTCGCTGTTTACCGGTTGTTCTGTCTCCTGCTGGAAGCTCCGTGAAGCTGCTTTCTTGTACCCCCTATTTGCTGGTCTCTGATATGAGTCCAAGATGGCAGATCCGTGCCACGTTGGCTGATAGGGGATCTCTGCATGAACCTCTCCTCGCTCTCTGTTCTCTGTCAGTTTTCTCATGCCATTTGGTGTTTGGCTGAGTTCTTTATCTCTTCATTTGATGTTGTAGGGTTTCGGGATTGCTGTTTTCTCTGTTTGGCTTAGTTTTTTGGATCTTTGCTGTGGAGGGATGGCGTGGTACTTCTGCCTAGAGTGCCATGTTGCCAGAAGTAAGCAAGGCAGACTCTACTTTGAGGAAGCAGCTTTTCCCCAGTTGTCTTTTGAATGCCTTTCCACCTGAGGGGCGCATCTTTTGACACTGTATCAGTGTTCTGCTGCTATTCAGGAGGTTTTCACTGGCTGATTTTTTTCAGAAGTGTCTTAGTCATCTAGTGCTGTCATAACAGAAATACCACAAGTGGATGGCCTCAACAAAGAAACATTTATTCTCTTAGTCTAGTAGCCTAGAAATCCAAATTCAGGACATTAGCTCCAGGGGAAGGCTTTCTTTCTCTGTTGTCTCTGGAGGAACGTCCTTGTCATCAATCTTCCCCTCATTGAAGAGCTTCTCAGTGCAGGGACCCCGGGCCCAAAGGAAGTGCTATTCTCCCTGGCTCTTGTTTCTTAGTGGTATGAGGTCCCCATGTCTCTCTGCTCGCTTCTCTCTTTTATACCTCGAAAGAGATTGGTTTAAGACATAATCTAATCTTGTAGATTGAGTCCTGCCTCATTAACATAACTGCCACTAATTCCATTTCATTAACATCATAGAGATTGGATTTACAACACATAGGAAAATCACATCAGATGACAAAATGGTGGACAATCACACAATACTTGGAATCATGGCCTAGCCAAACTGATACACATATTTTTGGGGGATACACTTCAATCCATGACAAGAAGTATACTGCCAAGTCCTTCTTCCTAGTCTGTCTTAGTCTGGAAGCTCAGCTGAAACCCATCCACCATGTGTGACCCTGCTGGTATTTGAAATACCAGCGGCATAGCTTCCAGCATCACAGCAACATGCAAGCCATCACAGCTGACAAACTGACAAACGTGTGGCTCTTCTTGCTTGATGGTACTGTATATAAGCTGATCAAAATTGTAACATGACCAGCTCATCTCTTAGGAGGTGTGTGCCCTGTTTGAGAACAGTCTCTTCTGCCTAATAAAACCTCTTAACTCTAATTGACTTCTTATGGATTAGATTTTTCTTTCAACAAGTCTTAAAGGTGAAAGCTGACCATACCTGCCTTCAACCAACCAAGCAATTACTGGCTAATAGACTCCATCTCATGGTGACCCCATCTGTGTCAGGGTAGAGTTGTCCTCCATAGGACTTTCAGTGGCTGATGTTTCAGAAGTAGATAGCCAGGTCTTTCTTCTGAGTCACTTCTGGGTGGACTTGAACTTCCAAACTTTCCTTTAGCAGTCAACTGAGTACGTTAACTGTTTGCACCACCCAGGTACTCAGCTCCTGTCTTAGAGCTGCCATATTCTCCTGGATATTCCAGAACATCAGGGACTTCCATATTCTTCTCTGACGTTTTGTACACATCTTCATGCTTATTGAACAGGCCTCCAAAGCTGACGTTCAGAAATCTAGTCTATGAATGCTGCACTCTAAAGTCACGAGTAAGCCTTCAGTGATTACTACGAGTATCCACTGTTTGTCTCTTTTCTTTTCCTGGCTGTTAAACCTAAGGCAAATAATTTAACCTTTCTGTGCTTCACTTTCCTCATGGGAAATAATAACACTAATTCCTGCTTTTATACAGGTTTGTGTCGAGGGATGAACGAGATAATATATATAATGTGCTTAGCACAGTCCTGCATCATAGGAAGCACTAATTCGCGTATCTTTCAGTGAGGGACTGTATCTTTCATTGCTGTACTCAGCTCCCGCCGTCTTCAGGATACGGGATTCAGGTACCAGGTTCAGGGTACAGAGAAAGGAGGGCGTTTTGCAAAGGAGAGTGGGTAGTGTGAGAGGTCCGAGGGCAAAGATCAGAAGGCAGTTGGTTGAAACGGCGCGCCAAGAGTCTCAGGAGAGTGCCCGCTGGCTACCGCTTTCTTTCCCCCGCCCCTTCCTTTGGTTTAGCTCCGCCCCTTTCTCACTAGAGGTTGAAATCCCACGCGGACACCGACGCCAACGCGGTTGCCTAGTGATACACTTTTCCCAAGATGCCTAGGGTGGTGTTGTGTTTCTCTTAGCCAATCAGAGAGGCGGAGCCACCCCACCGCCAGCCAATAGACTACGAGGTTAGGGCCCGCGACGGTTAAACGGGGCTGGATGTGCCGTAGACCGTCAGTGCGGCTCAGAGGGTCTCAGGCTCCGGGTGGTGTCTCCGCGACCTGCAGGAGGCAACACGAGCCCGGCGGCGGACCCAGCCATGCCGTCCCGGGCCGAGGACTATGAGGTGCTGTACACCATTGGCACGGGCTCCTACGGCCGCTGCCAGAAGATCCGGAGGAGGAGCGACGGCAAGGCGAGCACCGGCCCCTTCATCTCCTACCCCTTCCCAGTCCCTGTTTCCTCCACGGCTTTGGCTGCCCGGGGGCGAGCGCCTTGCGCCCCCGAAGGGAAGTGAGAGGCTTGGGGTTGTGGGTTTCGAGGGCTGGGTACCCGGAAGAGCTAGCAGTCTTCCCTAGGTCTGCATCTGACATTCTGTCTTGCGTCGCTGAAGGGGTGGGAGGCTATGCCTTTTGAAAAATGCATATATTTCCCTCCTCTATCTGATTTACTTTCTTTCTCCTGCTTTGATCAGCTTAGAGCCCCCTCTGGGTGACAGGTAGCTGAATCTTATGCCTTGCAGTCAGAACTCGTTTAAAATACCCATTATTAAGATTATTGGATTCATATTTCCCAATGTGTGTAGATAGACCTTTCACAGAAAGAAGCAATGGTGAGGAAACTGCTTGGCTGCTGATTGAACGGGTCTTTACTCAGGTCTCTCCCACCTGGGAAAGCTCGGACAGTCGGAATGGCTCGGGACTTTCCCCTCCTGTGCCCCAGCTTTGATTAAATAACCTTTTTGCAACCTCCCACTTAACCAGCTAAGACTAGGGAGCTGGGGGCAGGGGGGCGTGGTGGTGGGGATGGTGGTGGCTAATATGCCCCCTCACTTCCTCATAACATCTTTTACTGCTTAAAAATGAGAGGAAGCTTATGCAAATAAACTTAGGGCTCCTTAAGTTTTTTGAACTAAATTAGATGATAATGACCTTGATTTGTAGGGCATATTTAATAAAGGGGGTAATTTTTTAAGCTTTGGAACTTTCATTTTTTGTTTTGAATATAACGAGCTGATTTGTATCTTGGGATTCTTATTTTAGATATTAGTTTGGAAAGAACTTGACTATGGCTCCATGACTGAGGCTGAGAAACAAATGCTTGTTTCTGAAGTGAATTTGCTTCGTGAACTGAAACATCCAAACATTGTCCGTTACTATGATCGAATCATTGACCGGACCAACACAACGCTGTACATTGTAATGGAATATTGTGAAGGAGGGGACCTGGCTAGTGTGATTACAAAGGGAACCAAGGAAAGGTAATTTCATCTTTTAAATGTAAGCTGGGAATGGGTCTCGTTTCATTTTAGTGAAGCATCTTGTTTTAGGATCTGGGACACAGTGTTTTTTTAGTAATACGGAAGAGTGTTCTTGTATTTGTTTGGTGGGTCCACCGTATTTTAGAAAATCCCCAGTGAATCAAAGTTCATATGCCCATACTTATCAAAATTATAATTTATCCTCCTATTTGTATACTTAAAAACTAGGTAATTCTCGTCATCCCATCTTTGTAATGATGTTATTCAGAAGTTTTACGGTGTATAACTGCCTTGGTTTCAGACAATACTTAGATGAAGAGTTTGTTCTTCGAGTGATGACGCAGTTGACGCTGGCTCTAAAGGAGTGTCACAGGAGAAGTGATGGTGGCCACACCGTGCTGCATCGGGACCTGAAACCAGCCAATGTTTTCCTGGATGGCCAGCAAAACGTCAAGCTTGGAGACTTTGGGCTAGCTAGAATATTAAACCACGATACAAGTTTTGCAAAAACATTTGTTGGCACACCCTATTACATGTCTCCAGTGAGTATTACAGAATTTGGATAGTTCCTTTAATATCTCAATGGTAAGCATGAAAACCCAGAGAAATTAGAGTTTTTTGTTAGTTTAGTTATATTCAGCTACTAAGAATTAATAATATTGTTTCATTTTAAATTGATATGTTTTCCAAATGGACTACCAGACCGTTAAACTCCTTTATATCAGCAATTCAATTTAAGCTTTTATTGAATGACTGCCATGTGCTAAGCTCTGGGATTACAAAGATGAAATAGGCTTTGCCCCTGCCTGAGAGAGCAGTGTTTCCTGAAGTGTGGCCCTGGACACTCACATGAGACTCACTCGGGTGCTTGTTTATAGTGCAGATTCCTGAGCCCCATACGCAAACCCAGAGTTGGAACCTCCGGGCAGGTCCCTGGACATGTACAAAAAGTCAGGTCCTGTTTTTTTTAATGCATCTGCAGAGTCTATGACTTCACTTACCCACTTCCTCTGTGGCTGGATATATTGTTTCCAAAATTTCACACCATTCTAAGGAGCCCGGCTAGGCGTGTCTTTGTAGGAATTATTGTTTGTTTCGTTTTGGTTATTTCATTGGAGTGCGACTTGCAAAATGAAATTACTGCTTACTGCGTAAAAGGTTGTGAGCCATTTGTAACTCTCTATGGATATTGCCTGATTGCTTTTAAAAAACTTGAATCAAGAGCTAGACCACCAATATGCTGGTATATGAAATCTGAGCAGATACAGATGAAGAGATACTTAATATTTTTTAGTAGTTCACAAGCATTTCTAGGGTTTTCCAAGTCATTTTTAGCTACGTTAACAGGTCTGATTACAGTATAGAACTCTGTAAATTAATAGTTTTGTTTTTGACTAAGATTAGACATGGCCAGAGCAGTGTCATTTATCACTGGATCAAATTCCAAACAGAAGGCTTTTAATATAAAGGAAACTTATCTAGACGTGATTTTGAAAAATTCGACACCTGTGCAGTTCTTTTGTTCCCTTTCCTCCTGCCCTTGTAATTAGATTGAAGTTTAGCCTTCCCTGAAGTGTTGGTTGTAGGAACTGGTATCAGACTCACCTGTTGGACTTTAAAACACTCATCAGCGTCCTGGAGATTTTGGTTCTTCCCTCTGTACGTCTGTTGAGAATAACAGCAATGGTAGACGGTTGTACAGTAACAACAGTGGAAATAAGTGGATGAAAGGCAAGCAATTAAAATAGTGAGAATATTAGTTACTGCTGTGGTTTAGATGATTGACTATGGAAAAAATATAGATGAATAATCCAATTAGTCATTTATGTCTAGCCATTTAAATGTAGGCTAGATATATGTTTTGGTTATTTGGTTATTTGGAATTTTCTCCAGCTGTTTTAAAATGGAGTTTCTAGATTATGAGTGTCTTGAGGGTAGAGGTCTTTCATACTCACATTTGAATTACCAGTGTCTAGCCTGTAGTAGATACTTGGTAACTGTTTGTGAATGAACTGTATCTGATGAAGTATATCAGGACACGATCTTTGCCTTTTTTCCGTGATAAATTTGGAGATAAAGTATAAGGTATCAGCTATTGTTATTGTGATGCAAGAGCTCACAAGCTGAGTCAGCCTTTTGTAGTTGAAATTTTTGTTACAGATATATTTATATTTATAATGTATAATTATAAATATGAAGCCTATTAAATAAATTATAAATATATATTTATATAATATAATATAATATATTATAAATATATATTTATATATTATATAAGTTTATATATAAACTTATGTAAAATATAAATACATATAATGTAAATATATATTTTTTGAGTAAATATTACCAAATTTTGAGGTTTCATTTTTTCTCAGGGTTAATTTCATAAATTTTAAAACAAAATTAACTGCTAATCCTTTTGCTTCCGTTTTTCCCCCCAAGGAACAAATGAATCGTATGTCCTACAATGAGAAATCGGATATCTGGTCACTGGGTTGTTTGCTGTATGAACTGTGTGCATTAATGTAAGTAAGATGAAGATAACTAATCTGTGGGTTAAACTGTCCCTTCTACTAGGTTCAGCTTTTTGAGCATCCATGCTAGTAAAAGCATGTTCAAGTCTGAAAGAATTGTACCTTGGGTTAAAATTAAGGTAGATGGACAGGTTAAAAAGAAAAATTACAAATTAAGTCTGTAACCCACAAGGCTGGGTGTTGACTTTTCAAGCTGCTTGACTGGTTAGATGCTTCCTGTTAGACTGATGCTTAGCTCAAGGGGAGAGCACGTAGGTCACGTAGGTAACTCAAAGCTGCTGCAAGGATGTGGAAGAAATGAAACAAAGATCTAGGGGAGAGGTCTGGGGAAAGAGCACTGATTCTTTCCCTTTTTTCTTCTTTCCCTTTTTTCTCTTCAACATTATTCTGTAGAGCGGTAGTTGTCAACGCTGGGGGCTTAGGGTTAGGGACTTCCAACAATGTCTGGAGATGACTTCGGTATCACAACCGGGCAGGCTAATAGCGTCTAGTGGGTAGAGGTCAGGGATGCTGCTAAACATCCTACAATGCACAGGACAGCCGCCACAACAAAAAAATGATGTGACCCCAAATGTGAGTAGTGCCTAGGATGAGAAACCTAGCTGTAGGGGGAAATCCCAAAGGTAGAAACATGAATGTAAACTAGAGCTTAAATTGTGCTCTTGATTTGGTTTCTATTATATATTTTCATTTTTAAAATTTCTTTTTTTTTTTTAATCAGGCCTCCATTTACAGCTTTCAACCAGAAAGAACTGGCTGGGAAGATCAGAGAAGGCAAATTCCGGCGAATTCCGTATCGTTACTCTGAAGAATTGAATAACATTATTACAAGGATGTTAAATTTAAAGGTAAAGAGTATGAAGTTACATATTGTCTGTTTCTTTCAGTTAGATTTCGTTTTTCGTCTTTATGAGTATGTTTGTTAACTTTCTTTGTGGTTACCATGAATTTTAGCCTTATCTTTCTAAGTTTGAAGCAGCCTACCATAACTTGGTATCACCTTGCCTACCTCTCCGTTAGAAGGTTCTATACCTATGCCATTTATTCCCTCTTTTATTGTTTTGATGTTGTTGTCATTTACTGATTAACTGCTCTGATTCCCTGTTGTA